CCTCCATAAAAAACTACGCTAGATTGTATTTCAAGTTTAAGGTTTTGAGAGCTACGAGTATTGTTAAATCAAATTAGTTGACGTTGACGCTTCGCTGGGCACTCTGACCCTTGGAAAGTACAACACACTTTTAATCGGTGGAAAATCAGAAACTACAATTAGCACTTACACTATGGCTATAACAAATTTCAGCCCTATAATAAGCTCCAGTCCGGGGCATTAAGGCCAATTAGAGGTACAGTGGGAGCCGCATTGAACTTGCTTTATTTGCTGATTTGAGTATCGCTTGAACTTTAAACCGGAGAGGCACCAAAAGTGAGTCAGTTTCGGGTTATTAACAAGAATCAGACGAAACAAAACGTCGAGACCCATTAAAAAGGCGATTTCAATAAACTAACCGGTGAATTGACGTGTGTATGTGGAATAATTGGTTATACAGTGTGATCAGCGGAGTAGAGCGAAAACAAAAAGCGATAATCAAAACAAAACTCTAGCGAAGCTGCATTCAAAATTGTATAAAAGCCAGATGCTAACAGAATATAGCCAACAGTCTCAATACCAAAGGGTTTTCAACAACATCTCTACCGAAAATGAAGTTCCTGATTTTCCTGTTCGCCATTTTGGCCATTTCGGCTGCCGTGAGTGTAATTTGCCGATCAAAGCGGCCGTATTACTAAGGGTATCTTTTGCATGTATCTTTTAGGATCTGCAGCTATCTGATGAGCAGAAGGCGGTGGCCCACGCCAATGGCGCCCTTTGTGCCCAGCAGGAGGGTGTCACCAAGGATCAGGCGATCGCCTTGCGAAACGGCAAATTCGATGACAGTGATCCCAAGATTAAGTGCTTCGCCAACTGTTTCCTGGAGAAGACCGGATTCCTGATCAATGGTGAGGTCCAGCCCGATGTCGTTCTGACCAAGTTGGGACCCCTGGTCGGCGAGGATGCCGTGAAGGCCGTTCAGGCCAAGTGTGATGCCACCAAGGGAGCGGATAAGTGCGATACTGCCTATCAGCTATTCGAGTGCTACTACAAGAATCGCGCCCACATCTAAGCGACCAACTAGCGTCGCTATATTATTGTGTGATAATCTGTCTGTGACTTGTTACTTATTTGGTTTTAATTCAGTATATCAATTCAAAAAAATTATTTAGATGTATAAAGGTTTTGAATAAATATTCAAGCAAGTTGTTTTGAAAGTATATAATTTGTTTTCAAGAATAAGCCATATTACTTTGAGAAACTTTGTTCGAAATAAAAGATGGTAAAAGCTCATACATAGCCCTTTTGGAATCTCTCATGGCATTTGTTAGTATATATGATATTGAAGTAAATCTTGTAGTAGAATATTTTTTAGGTGTACCAAGCCAAAGTAATTGAAGCCCAAACGAACCTTCCATGAAAATAACTTTCGCAACTTTGTCAGCCCTCACAAAGCACTCCCCTCTTTGTGTCTCCAAGGAAATTAAGAGAGAAATTCTTATACATAATCACTTATGCATATTCGACTTGTCAATGGGTGCTCCACTGTATGACCCATTTGCGTTTTGGCCACGCACCCATTTGCATAACAGTGGGCCGTCATTAAGGACCTTCCACTGTCAGACCGTCGTCAGAGGGCTTAAGTCCTTGGTACAGAGCGGCGATCCCAGAGGCATTTGGTCGCTCATGTTTGGCATAAATATTGATGAGCGAGTGCAAACTTATTGGCACAAAGACCTGGGATACCGGGCTACAGGCCACAGGATGCGTGGGGGCCGAGCAAATGAATTGGACACGGCGAGCCGTGTTTTTAAAAGCCCAAATCCAATTAACAAATCATTAAACATTCATTGAGCACGTGTCGCAATTGCATTTACTGGCTCAACGTGGATCAGGTGGCATAGAAGGGACAATTGCTCCGACTTTGGCTTTGGCTTTGGACTATGGGGACCTTGGATCGCAGCCAGTGTCCATAATTCATTTTGTCACTTCCTGGGGTCGGTCTGGCTGTCATGTCACTTCCATTTAGCATCCGTTTCAGTTGCAGTTGTCTGCACAAGAGCTGATGGCCGGCCAACTCTCGACCAACGGAACAAACAATCACTGATGCGTTTACTAATGTCTATTAAAAAGGCAGCCCAATCGAAGGATTCCACCCCCGAGCTAATGCATTTAAGTAGACAGCCATGGCGGCTTGTCAAAGGAGCCAACACGCGTGAGATGGTAGCACATTGATGCTCGACATCAGCCTTTGTCTTGGCCATCTTGTTTGACTTGTCTTGCTCCCGGTAGTTGGCTTTCAATGGCCGAGGACCAAGGATATCGCTGGTTGGGGTGGGAGTTCTGGGGTTGAGTGGTGATGCTTTGAGGGCGAGGCCTTCCCTGCGGTTCTCACATTAATGTAATTTAATTTTATAAAAACTTCGCTGCGGGGTGGCTGCCACTGTCTTGTTTCATGCTCCGATGTCTCTCGCTTTTGGTCCGTCCATGTGGAGTTTCTTTGATCTTAAAGACCAATATGTGATGTGGCTGGGGATGCTGCGGTTGTGTTCCCGATTAACAGCACAAGTCTGTTATTAAGTCCGTCAATTAGAGTGGGGCCAAAGAAAGTAGGAGTTCAGGAAAACCAGTGGCTGTGGCTTCAAGTAATGGGATTGAATTTGTTTGCAATTCGACTTGAATAGTAAGGATGATAATAACTCTATCTTAGAAAGCGTACGTGTTCTCTGCAGTGTCATGTATTTTTCCTCATTTCCAAATTCTAATAATGGTTTCAGATGTCTAGCAAAACTATCATTGCTTGCAAAAACAAATTAGTCAATAATTACTATGATTATTTTAATTAAAATTGCAATCAATGGTTGGCCCGTTTTTTAAACACCTGTATGGTGCGGTACTTACATGTTTTGTAGATACATCTACCAAATTGAGCCTAAAAACTTTTTGCATACCATTTTGTATTTGTGTAATTTCAGAGGCCATTAAATAACTCAGATGAGTGTTTTTGGCGAATGCTAATATGACTTCTCACCCGAAAACGCTATTGGCAATCCACTGATGCATGCCACATTATACGCGATGTATCTGGAAATGATTACCTGATGGGCTCAGCAAGTGAGGCATGAACATTATTTGGTAATCGATTCGAACAACAATTAAACGACGATTTAAAACGAACTCTGAACCATAAAGACGACTCTATAAAAGGCGTTTGTTAAGTCGCGACAGGCTCTATTGTTGAAACGTTTTTAAAGTAAATTGTCAATCAAATTTTAAATATTCCTTAGATGTATTTTCGAGATAGTTTGCTGGCGCTGCTTTGCCTCACTCTTACTGAATTCGTTCCTAAAGCATGGGTAATGTTTTTCATATTTTTATGTATATTTTTTTAATACACATTAGAGTTTGAAATCCACGTAAATATTGAAGAATGGAAGTGACTCAAATTTTCTGAAAACTTCAATATATCCCCCATGCATAGAGGCAATATTAAATTTTCATAAAAAACATGCCACCCACAGAGCCGATCGCTTACCGTCTCGCTGAACATGTCCATGACCAGAACCCTGGTTCCAGATCCGCCAAATGGAACGGAAACCAAGCTCAGCCAGGAGATGCTGAGGGCTTGTATGCGCAGGACCGAGATCTCCATGTCGCAACTGAAACTGTTTCACATGAGCCTGATGAACAGTGACTACACGAATGACAACGATATAGCCCCTACGCCAGTTCAATCCATTGGCGAGGTGAATAACCTGGGCGATATCGACCTGAATGGCAATGGGCAGATGCCATATCTCGATCTGAAGCACAATGAGCCGCTACAGTGCTTTGTGAGCTGCCTGTATGAGACCCTGGATGTGGATAGGTACAATGTCCTGCTGGAGGAGGCCTTTAAGAACCAGGTGCAGACGATCATACAGCATGAGAAGGCAGAGATCAAGGAGTGCAGCGATCTTCAGGGCAAAACTCGATGCGAGGCGGCCTACAAGCTGCACGTGTGCTACAATCACCTGAAAACTCTGGAGGCGGAGCAGCGCATCCGTGAGATACTCGAGCGGAGTGAGGCGGAGAACGAGGGATTCGGTGCGGAGGGCAGCGACTTCATCGACGGCATCCAGCATTCCGGAGAAGCAACGACCACCACTAAGTCGGAGTAAATAGCTGTTTTTTTGGTTCCCAGACCTAAACGGTGCTTGGTTTATGGAAAATTCACTTATTAAATGTATTTATTAATAAGTATATAAATTGTAACTTATTCAACTTTTGGGTGTTTTAAAGCTTTAAAATAAAAGGTAATCATTTTGCATTTCAACGCTATTGGTTTTAACACTTTTAATATAGTTTTTCATTAATTGAAATATTTATTTTTCCTACCATGTCTTTGAAAAATTGATTACCATATAATTAGGCTCCACTTTTTTTAAATCATTTAAAAGTTCCATAGCATAGTTTTGTGCTGGCTGTAAAGTAAACTGTAAAGTAATTTGAATGTAAAAAGATCTGAATGGCTTCAAAAATGTATAAAATACATAAAATAAATAAATAACAATTTTCCAGTCATTCCTAAACTGATTAGAAGAACTACATTATACTTCATACGGATTTTAGTGCCATAACAGAATAATGTAATTTTTTCCTCAATTCAAAGTTTAAGCAAATTGGCAATTGTATCTCGCATAAAGAACTCTAAATCGCCTAAAACTCTTTTCAGCTGAAATAAGAACTAATCTTAAAACAAGAAAAACTATTTCACTATTCCACGCACAATAAAATAAAACAAAGCAAATAAATCCAAAGTCCAAACAAAGCTCACTGACCCGAATGAAAATTTTAGGCGGAGATGATTTCCCGCCTACTGGTTGAATGCGAAAATTGGTTCGAATTAAAAAAAAGGTTAAAATGAAGCAATTTTATTAATTGAATTTAAATAAAAATAATAACTTGATCGGCAAAATTTAGACTGCAACTTAAATATTTTACGAGTATTTAAGCCACATTATTGCGAACGAAGTTCAGTTCGACAGTGAATGTAGCATTGTAAAGATGAAACTAATCTGCTTGTTGGTTGTATTCCTAGTTTTCGCTCTGAGCGAACTGGCAGCGGTAAGTTGGAAACATTTTTTAGTACAATGTATCCTTTATTGATATATGTTTTTAAACAGGGCCAGACAGCTGCTGACTCGGCGGCCTACAAGCAAATGCAACAGGCCTGCATCAAGGAGCTGAATATTGCTGCCAGCGATGCCAATTTGCTGACCAATGACAAGGAGGTGGCCAATCCCTCGGAGTCGGTGAAGTGCTATCACAGCTGCGTCTACAAGAAGCTGGGTCTCCTGGGCGACGATGGAAAGCCCAATACCGATAAGATCGTCAAGTTTGCCCAGCTCCGCTTCAGCAGTCTGCCGGTGGATAAGCTAAAGGGTTTGCTTACCAGCTGCGTAGCCACAAAGGCAGCCGCCACCTGCGACCTTGTCTATAACATGGAAAAGTGTGTGGTCAAGGGTATTAGTGCCTAAACTTAAAGCAATAAAGCAGCTATGCAGTGTTCAACGCACTCAACGATTAACAGCTTGATTCCATACCTTTAATTATGCACACTGAAAACGCCAAATGACCTGAATATGCATTATAATCTGCTTACGCGAAACGAGGCTTGAAAGCCTCAATTAAGCTGTGAATTAATAAGTTAAAATCTGAACAAAAAATGTATTACAGCAAGGCATTAGTTTCTAGCGTCTTTGGATGCAATGTATTGCTACCCAAATTAAAAGAAACCTATAGGACATATTTCAACCAAATATAGAGCACAAAGACCCGTTTCATTTGAGAAAGAGTTTATTCAAATTTCGTTACTATTTTTTCCGAATCACAATTTGCCTGGCATCAACTGCCAAACTTCCTTAGGCCTTTGCCTCGGGGGCGGGCTTGAAGCTCTCGAAGCATTCGTGCAACTTGGCGGCGCTATCGCACTTGTTCTCGCCCTTGATGGACCTGCACTTGTCCAGAGCCGCCTTGGTCTTCTCCTCGCCGATGAGGGCGCCCAGCTTCTCCAGGACGACGGACTCCTGCAGCTCGCCGTCCTTCAGGGTGCCCACCTTCTCGAAGAAGCAGTTGGCGAAGCACTTGATGTTCTCGGTGGGGTCCTTGAAGTCCTTGGCATTGACCTTGGCCCTTTCCTCCTCGGTCAGTTTCACTTCGTCGGCGCACTGCTCACGATGCTGCTTGGCCAGATTCTTCTGATCATCGCTCAGATTAAGGGACTAACAAGACATTTGAATTAAAGTTTGAATTACGAAAGGGTGTATTAAGCGTAGAAAAACTATAGACTTTCAGGATTGACATTTGCTTATGAATACTAATCTTTTAGGGAAAGAGTCTAAGGCAATCTCAAAAATCCCTATACTTTCAAGTTAAAAGTTATCTAATTTTCTTAGCTTAAGCTCAAACTCACCGATCCAGCAGCCAGAGCCACAAAAAGGGCACTCAAAGCGATCACGAAGTAGGAGTTCATGTTGCGAATTACTTAGATTGCTAGAACGTTTGGAGAAGTTCTGATGTCGAAATGGGATGGGATCGCCGCTTTTATACCCGAATTGGCGGCCAATAAAAGCCGGTTTCTCTTTTTTGCCCCGAGCGGTGATCCAACTAAGCCCAGCTGATGGCTTTGCTTTTTGCTTTTGCATTTTGTTTTGATTTTGTTGTTAGGTTTCTGTTTGCTATCTCTTCCAATTCCTTTACTCCAGCTGTACTTTTTTTGCAATCGTGGCCAGTACTTTGCGTCTATTTGTGGCCCGCGGCCAGGTAGGTAGACAATCTGAAGTTATGGTCGCTATGAAAGCATGGTTCATTAAACCGCCTTCTACCTCTCCAAGCTGGGGAATCGAATCAATTATACAGATAGAACGCAGACGTGGTACAGACAGGGACGCCTCGAGTGGACTCCAGATCGTAGGTCGCTCAAGTTGCTCCGACTGGAGTTGGAGTTGGAGCTGGAGAAATTGGTGGAATTGTGGCTGCTCACTCATTATCGCTGCACTCTATCAAAAACTTTCCACTGTGGCCCCATACCAGGTGGCAGATCCCAAGCTCAAGGCACAATAACCATCCGACAACGCCCCAGTCGGATTCTGATTCAGATATATATCTATGTATCTGGGCGGAGAGGTGTGGCCAGGCGCGTATTGAAAGTTGAGAAGCGTAAGGAGACAGACGACGACGGCAAAGTTTTTTCATTTGAATCCTATTATTTCAGCGTAGTTGTAATCTTATTATCCACGAGATGACAGCAAAATGACATTTAGAAAATTTCACGCTGTGTGAGATGTACAAAAAGAAAATGCGGGAATGCAGGAAAGTCAGTGCGTGTGGGTGAGGCTGATGGAATCGAGCCGGAGTCGGAGTCGGAGTCAGAATGGGATCCAAAGTCGTGGCCGGGATCCGGAGTTTCTGATTGGGACTGCGTACTGTGGCCAAGCCATTCCTTCTCCCTCGGAAAAACCTTCGTCTGCTGCTTTGAGTCGGGCGTGTTTTTCACAAGTTTTCCACTGACTTCTTCTGCTGTCGCTGCCTTCCTTTTAATTTCAATTCTGACATTTGTTTGTCTGCTGTCAAAATAAAGTAGCTTTGGCGCTAAAGAAATAAACCATAAGATTGCGATTGAAAATTTTCCAACGCACACGCAGACACCACACCCCCTCCCTCCACCACCCACCAACCACCCCCTGACCGCCCAGTGGCTGAAAACTTTTCGCTCTGACGCAATAATAATAATAAACTAAAGCTTGTTTGACTTCTCCGCAAATGCTTTGAAATCCTTGTGTGGTAATCTTAATTCAATTTGCTTGTGGTGGGGACAGTCGACTTGAGTGATAAACTCTGGCGTTACACATGCAAAGATTGTTTGTTGGGAGTAAGAAAAAACCTGGAAATTTAATCTGAAAACTTTATAAAAATAATGATTTTGCAGGAGAGTACAAGCAAGAATGTTTACAGGTGGGAATTAGTTTTTGTTGGCATTCCTTTGGGTGTAAGCTTTGCATTAAGTTAAGCATTTGATAAACAAACATTCTTTGAAGTCAGCATTAAGTCAAAAGGAAATAACATTCGAACGTATTAGATATTTCAGTTATATTCTTTTCTACAAAGGTTAAAGGTGCTTCATTATGTGGCGATTGAAATATGCAGACAAGCAGGATTAATTTCTCAAAATTCGTACATTCTTTTCAAAGTTTCAGAATCATTAGGAAGGCAAAAATGTAATATTTGCTCAAGCTTATTTCTAATGAACCAGAGCTGAGCTAGGGATGGCTATCCCTATAGAGCACAAGGCAAAACCATGAAGAGTCAGTCTACAAGCCCCCCTCCAATGCCGCCCAACTTCAGCTAGAAATTAAGTACAATTTTCATTTTAAATTAAGCTGCCACGGCATCCCCGCAGAGCAGATCCTGCTCAGCTTTCGACGTCATTAATCACCACAGAACACAGGAGCAGCAACAACATGCCGGCCAAAGAGCATTTGTCAGAGACTTTTGGGTTACTTTCTTTGGTGGGGTGAAGCATTTTCTAATCGCCCCCATGCAAAGTAAAAAAGCAACAGAGTTGGAAAAGTTGCGCCCAAGAATCAGCCCGTGTACACATGTCAGGGGGACTGGGAAAATGCCCCCAACTATGAAAACTCCGGCCTGACGAGGACCCCACCTGTCTGAGTTTTATTTCTGTGAGAAAAATGGTCGCTAAATTTGCGTGAAAAGGCAAATAATTTGAAATTCCCAGGGGCTCTAAATAAGTAAATTTAAATTGCATTTGTATGCGTTCAAAAATTTGTGCCTTTCCCTTCAGCAGTTTTGAGGGTCTGGGCGCTTGTGTGTTTTGGCCATAGCAAGTTTTTGTTTGCCACTGTTGCCGTTATAAATTTGCGTGTCAAAAGCGACGAGGTGAAGGTTTTCCGCTTAAATTTCTTTTTTTTTTCTGATGTTTCGCATATGCGGAAGGAAGTTTTGCCCCCACAACCCCCATGCTCGGTTTTCAGCCATGTCTATATGTTTGGCCAAATGTTAATGTCCTTATCAGCGCTTCAGCATTTTTACATGTGTCCGCATTTGAAATATGCGGCAGTGGTAAATGTTTTTCTGGCACTTTGCATGCACCCGTATGAGGGAAATGCAGAATGGGGTGGGGATTTTCTTTTTGCCGCTCCTGTTGCCGCTTCCGCTGCAGCTGATGTCAAGTGTCAAGTGTCGGACAGTTGAAGTTATTTATTATAACGACAATTACACCAAACCTACCAACAGCTGGCCAACAGCTCACGTCAGAGCGTTCTGCGGGTTTTCTATGGCCATAATTACATTTCCCACGACTCTGGGCGAATGGAAATTAGAAAATGCCAAAAAACGGAAACGGAAGTGAGCGAACTTCGCGTTCGTGTGTGCCATGTGTGCCATGTGTGCTTTCTTATTGCCTCTGCCACGCCCGTTCCGCCTCCCACACACACACGCGCACACACACACATGCACACAAGCCCTTTTATCGAGTTTCCGCATCCATCGTCTCAATCGAAATCATCCTATACCCCGAAATCGGCGAAATTTGCTAATGTAATGATGCTTAAAAGTGTTTCGAAGTATTCCTTTGCCTTGTTTATTTTTATTTAAATGCCAGCATGTGTGGGGGCGTTTGATTGAATTGAAAATGCTTTGCCAAAAAATTTCCATTCAACGTCGATGGCTGTCTGCCTTTCCTTTCTTCTAGCTTAGCATTCAAGGGTTGAGGCACGTTGCGAATAATTTGCTAAATGGCTTAAAGCAAGCAACGGGTCGAATTGAAATGCTCGAAAGCCGAAAGCACATTAATAGCCACACTGGACGTGGTTCGATGTTGGCAAATCTCTGTCTAGAACTACGGGGAATTTTTGCATCGCACTTAAGTTGCTTTGCGGCCTTTATTGCTGCATCAATAAAATTAAACTTACATTAACAGCCCAAATGAGTAAGACATTTTCTGACGGGAATCCCAAATGAAATTTATTGAGTTGCTGTGAGCAACAAATGTATCTATATGTGATATGCGATACCCTCAATTAAGGGTAATTATAATTACTTCACGTGCAAGTTTAACCTAATATTTGGAAAACCCATAGTTCATATTTTGTCTGATATAGTTTAAGCCAATTCAGCAAACACAAAAATATCTTATGGTAATGGAAATATGTACATATCAGAAGAAGTAAACAGAGGTCTTATAGTATATGTGTTTTTTCTTGCCTGTTTATATAAAACTTTTAAATAGCTTCTAAGCACACCCTTAAGCTAAGTAACAGGTATCTGATAGTATTCTTTTTTGAGATGTCAGCGTTATTAAAGTTCTCTGGAATTCTGTCATAGAATTAGTTAGTGGAAATTATCACTACAAAATGCCATCTGCAGCCAGCGGCATTTCAGCAGCTGTAGCGCCACTTCAGCGATTCAGTTTGAGCCACTCGAGCATGTCGATACACACACTTGTGGCCAAGGATCTCAGCTCCCAAGGACCCTTTCCTTTGGCTAAGTTCAATGCCATAAGTCGCCGTC